CCTAAGTGTCCATTGACAGATGAATGGATAAAGAAGATGTGGCACATATATACAATGCAATATTACTCAGCCATATAAAGAAACGAAATTGAGTTATTTATAGTGAGGTGGATGGACCTAGAGTCTGTCATACAGAGTGAAGTAAGTCAGAAAGACAAAAACAAATACCGTATGCTAACACATATATATGGAATCTAAAAAAAAAAAAACAGACAGGAATAAATACGCAGAAGTAGAGAATGGACCTGAGGACACGGGGAGGGGAAGGGTAAGCTGGGACGAAGTGAGAGAGTAGCATTGACATATATACGCTACCAAGTGTAAAACAGATAGCTAGTGGGAAGCAGCTGCGTAGCACAGGGAGAGCAGCTTGGTGCTTTGTGACCACCTAGAGGGGTGGGATAGGGAGGGTGGGAGGGGGACGCAAGAAGGAGGAGATATGGGGGTATATGTATATGTATAGCTGATTCACTTTGTTATAAAGCAGAAACTAACACACCATTGTAAAGCAGTTATACTCCAATGAAGATGTTAAAAAAAAAATCACAAAGATCAATCCAAACACTCTGAGAATAATTTCAACTATATCAAGTAAAAGGAATCATTAGGGCTTGGGCCTTAGTGGTTTATTAAAGGTGTTTAAGTATGTACCTGGGAGTTTGTATATCTGTGTGTATGAGTATGTTTTAGACAAATAGAGATGTCAGGAAAACATTTTCCTTCCAGCTGTTTATTTCCTTTAAGCTTTTCTTCAAATTCTTTTTGTTGTTGTTGTTGGTACGCGGGCCTCTCACTGTTGTGGCCTCTCCCGTTGCGGAGCACAGGCTCTGGACGCACAGGCTCAGCGGCCATGGCTCACGGGCCCAGCCGCTCCGCGGCATGTGAGATCTTCCCGGACCGGGTCACAAACCCGTGTCCCCTGCATCGGCAGGTGGACTCTCAACCACTGCGCCACCAGGGAAGCCCCTAAATTCTTTTTTAAACATTTAGTCGCTAGTCATGTTTTGCCCGTTTTTGTTTTTGTAAAGCCTGAGACAGCTCTTCTGGAGAGAGTGACCTGTATTCTCTCTAGGCCTTTGAGCTTTTCCAAGGGACATGCCTTGGCACCTGCTCACTGTTTCTGCCAAAGAAAATGCCCTTATAGCAAAATTTGACTTGAATTATGACAGTCTCAGTAGGAACACTCAGCCCCTGGAGATGAGGACTGTTTGTATAACTGTGACAGTTGCTAAGCATATTATATCTATTAACTCATGACGGATATTGTAGTATATTTAATAGATAAAACTGAAGCTCAAAAAGTGAAATAACTGGCCCGGGTTGCTTATTTAGGTAATTGGCAGAACCAGGGTTCAGACCTGCTGTTGTCTGATTCCGAGGCCAGTACTACATTCTGCCCCTGTGTTTGTGCCCCAGTGGGGCACCCCTTGATGCCTTCTGGGGTACTGAGTATCCTGGAAAAGAAGTGTCTCATTGTCCCAAAAGAAGAAATAATGATTGGATACAGACCCAGGACTACCTTCTGGCAGCTGACCTCAGGTTTGTTTTTTGTTTCTAGGTATACACTCAACACGTGGCACTGTGCAGGATGGAGGGTCTCCCGTACCCCACCATGTCAGAGACCATGGCGGTGTGCTCTCACCTAGGCTCCTGCCGCCTCCTCCTTGTGGAGCCCAGCAGGAATGACCTGCTCCTTCGTGTGCGGCTCAACGTCAGCCAGGATGATGTTTTATATGCACTGAAAGAAGAGTGAAGGGCTTCACAAGGAAGAACTGTGATCTGCTGTTTTTAAAGAGCCCTGTTTCCATTTCCTAAGCACATGGAATCATTGTAGCAAAGTATACTGAACAGCAATGGCTGTCATGTATTTTGCAATTTTCCGTTAAATCATTTGCTTTTTCTGGAGTGTTTGGGAAGTTTTATAGTCATTACAAACATCAAATTATAAAATGAAACCATCCTTCCTACACTAGGCCCTCTCTCTGGGTTTTATTTCTGTTAGTAGCCCTGACATTTTAATGGTAACATACCATGTATATAAATAGAAGCACACAATTACGGTATCTATATAAAATAGTTCCAGGAGAGTAAGTAAGAAATTACTTATATTGGTTGCCTCTGGGAAAGAACTGGATGGCTACCTTCAGGGTTAGAGGAAGACATTCACTGTATGTCATTATGTATCTCTTAACTTTTGAACAATGTGAGTGTAATATACTTAGCACATAAAAAGGAACTGCTGGAAATAATATCAGTAATAAATAATCCCTAGTAACAAATAGCTAGAAAATGGAATTTTTAAAAAGATACCATTTATCATAAAAACAAATCTTTAAATAAAAAATACTTAGATGGCACAGAATATATAAGGTACCTAGGAATACATCTAATAAATGTAATTAATCTCTAAATAGAAATCAATTCCAATTAAAATCTTGGTAGGGTTTTTTTGTATAACTTTGCAAGTTAATTCTGATAAACCAACAATAGAACAAACTGACATCTAAAACCTCATGTCAGCTACTGAGAAAATACATCATCCATGTCATAGTCCTGCCAGAAAGGTTTGACCTCAACCTACTGATGAGAAAAATTATCAGGTAAATCAAAATTGAGGGAAAAATATTCACAAAGCAATGATTCCTCTTCAAAAATATTCATATCACAAAAGAAGAAAAAAATGGAGAAACTATTCTAAACTAAAGGAGACTAGAGAAATGAGAGCTAAATAGCTAAGTAGACTGTAAGAACCTTGATTGGGTCATGGATTTAAGAGATACAAACAGTTATAAGCATTATTATGGACTATATTCATATTAGGTAATAGGATTATGTAAATGTTAAATTTTGTGGGTGTGATAAATTATTGTGGTTGTGTAGGAGAATGTCCTTGTTCTTAAGAGAATCATGATAAGACATTTATGAGTGAAATATAACATCTGCAACAAATTAAATAGCTCAAAAAATACATAGATACATATATTTATAACTGCTCGTAATGGACTAAGGATCAGTATCAGAATATTTTAAAGCATTATACAATAAGAAAAAGGAAAATGGGTAAATAAGGCATCCACAGAATAAGAAATATAACCAACAAAATGGAAACATAGTATAAGAAGCCTGCAAGTCAAAACACTTTCACATCTATTAAAAAAAAATCTTTCCATGGTGATATGGAACAATTGGAAACCAAATGCCCCATTGATGTAAGTGTAAACTAGAACAACTGCATTGGAGATAATTTGGAAATATTTAGTCTATAAAATCCTATGAGCCCCCAATTTCACTCCTAGGAATATACCCTAGAGAAACACATGTAAACACCAGGAATTATATACAAGAATATTCATAGCACTGTAATGGCAAGACATTGGAAAAGTGAATTATTTTCATACTGTGAGATAACATACAGAAATGAAAAATAAGTAATAAGTATCAATGGATGAAGCTAAAAAGGTCGAGTAAAAAAAGGAGTTGAAGAATATTTGCAGTGATAACAATGATATAATGTCAAAGCTTGCAAAAAAAAAATACTATGGTTTGCTTAAGGATGTACACATACATAGTAGAAATGCTCAGGAATAATAAACACCAAATTCAGGAGACTGAATATCTCTTTGGGAAAGGGTTGTAACATGAGAGGTGGCGAGGTGGCTTCAAGAGTATTGTACTGGTTTTTCTTAAACTTGCGGTAAGTGCCCATGTATTTGTTAATTCACACAATAAATAGTAACTATTTATTTAGTGCCTACTGTGTACCATGCACTGCTCTAGACACTGAAGTTGAAGAAGAAGCAAAAGCTCCTGCCTTTATGGAGTTTGCATTCTAGCAAATGTGAAATATTGTACATTTTTATATGTCTTAAATGTTTCATTATAAAACATTTTGAAGTTTAATGAGAAGAAATATGGGAGTGAAACTTCCATTTTATTTCTTTTCAACATTCTTTTTTTTTTTTTTTGGCTGCTCTACCTTATGGCTTGCAGCCTCTTAGTTCCCAGACCAAGAATTGCAGTCGGGGCCTCAGCAGTGAGAGCACAGAGTCCTAACCAGGGAGTTCCCTGAACATTCCATTTTAAAATAGTAAAGACAGTCTCTTCTTCAGGAAATCACCAAAAAGCAATAAGGAGGTGGAAAAGCTCGTTGTCCAAGGAAACTGAAAGATAAAAGTTTAGGAAATAGGCAGGAGGAAGTGATTTGCTAGGTTTTAGATGGAAGATTCCTTCCCCCTACCCTCCAATTGCATTGCATTGCCCTACCGGATAGGGGAGTAAGAACTTGGTGTTAAAAGACAGTAAGAACTGTCTGAAGTGACTTTATAAAGAGGTGCAATGAACACTGCCTTTCATATCTTAAGTATTCAACCCGCCTTCTGATTGGAAAAGGTACATTTAAGTGCTGAATGATTAAGAAGAAGATGGTGAGCCCCATTTCTCTTTCTTAGAGACCCAGTTACACAGGGCACTGCGTTAGATGGTGAGCAGAGAAACCGCTCCTCTAGGGCGGAGGCTGCACCATCCTCACCTCCACGCCGAGGGGCGGGACGAGGACTTGAGGCTAGATAAGTGAGCTTGCGCCCAAACAGCCTCAGAGTGGGAGTGAGGGAGAAGCTTGGCGGGTAAATTGTATTAATAAATGGGCAAGGACAGGGGTCAAACCTCTGCGTTTGCACAAGCAGCCGGACAACCCTGAACTGTACAACGACCCTCTGTGAAAACTTTGCGTTACCTGCCCGAAGGCGCCTGCGCGCTGAGAACCCCACCCTTGGAGTCACCTGTTGGAGCGCCACGCCCGCTTTGCCTTGCGCATGCGTAATACGCGCCGCACCGGTCGTGGAGTCACGTGTTAGAGCGCGAGGCGCCTCCCGCCGGGGCGCTTCCTGTCGCGGCTTCCTCGGCGGCCCAGGGGCCGCGGGAGGCCTGGGCGATCCCCGGCGGGAGAAGGCACGGTTCGGTTTCGGATCCGCCGCGAGGTATGCCGCAATCCCGCCCTCTGGCAAGGGAAGAGGAGGGGACGGCGGGGGAGATGGAGGCGGCTGGGCAGGGCAGGACGGCGCGTCCTGCAGCTCGGGAGTGGGGTCCCCGGCTTCCCCTCCCCTGCGCACTCCCTGCCCTTTTATCGCCTGAGCCCGGGCCTGGTACAGCACCGCTGCCCCCAGCCCGGTGCCCCCGGAGCCGCAGACTTGGCGCGTCTCACTGACCCGCTCACTCCGTGTCACCCGCTCAGTTGACCGCCAGCTGTTCACCCAAGTCACTGAAATCTGACGCCTGGAGTCATCCTGAGCGCCCCCTCCCGTGAGTGCACATGCAGTTAACCTCCGAGCCCTGTTGATTTTACCCCCTAACTCGAGTCGGTCCACTTCTCTCCATCCCCAATGCCGCCCCCACGCTGTCTCAGCTTCTCCCCTTTCGCCGAGACCGTTGCAAGATGCTCGGTGCCGAGACGGCTTCCAGCCTGGGTTCGCCCTCCTACTTCCTTCCTTTCTGCAGCCAGAGGGATGTTTCTGAATCGCCGACCTAATCGCATCACGTCCATTGCCTTCAGAATCATGCCCAAACTCCTTTAGGCTTAAAGGTTTTTCTCTTTTGCCCCTTGCTCACATTTTCAGCTTCGCTTGTACCATTTCTTGCCTCACACTTTATGCCCCACTAATCCCAGTTTAGTTTTCCTGTGCAGGTCAAGCTGTTGTCACCTCAGAACCATTATCAGGTTGTTCCCTATGTTTGGAATCCTATTCCCCTTCCTTCCCCCCAAAACCTTCATAACTCAGCACGGGCACCACCATCTCCAAGAAGCCTTTTCTCTCTGCTGGGTAAGGGGCTGCCCCTGGGCACCCGTGGCCCCTGGCGCCGCCCTGTGTGGGTTTTGTCCAGTGATGAGGGACTCTCCACCATGTAAATGTTCTTTGAGGACTGACACCATGTCAGATTCATTCTTGCGCTCCCAATGCCCAGGACACTGTGATGCACAGTAGGTCCTATGAATGGTTGTGAGGTCTCTGAGTGAATCAGAATGCTGAGTCAGATTTCTCTAGAGCAGAACTGTCCAATAGAACTTTCTGCAGTGATGAAAATGTTCATTATTTGTGCTGGCTGATGGTAGCCACTAGCTGAGGAACAGGATTTTTAACTTGATTAAATTTAAACATACACAGCCACATATGGCTACTGTGTTTAACAGCACAGTTTTAGAGCCTTTCTGAATCCTACCCAGCCTTATACCCACCCTGTACCTAGAGTTACTTCCCTGAACCTGCCTTCTTAAGCCACTCACCACTCAACCACTTGGGTTTAATCCACATTTGTCAGTCAGTTCGGTAACTTTTTATTGTGTCCACACTCCCCCACTTAAGCCTATTAACAGGTGGCCACGTCCCTTTCATCTTCCATGGTGCTTGCTTCAGTGCTGTACTTCCAGGGCTGGTGTTTCAGCCTTGGGTGTTAAGCATTGCCTTCTTTCTCTGAGTTGGGAGTTTACTAACCACACCCATTGGGGGCGGGGCTTGTAGGCTGCTCCAGTCTGAGCCTCTTCGACTCCCCATTAGACGAGTGTCCAGGCTGCCAAGATGCCAGGGCCAAGACCTCGGAAGGGCCCTCAGGCCAGTGACCAGGGTGTGGCAGCTGCCAAGCAGGTATGGATGTACAGCCTCCTTTACCTTTACCTTCACCTTCACCTCTGGGTCAGTCTGAGCGTGAGGGTCTCTGACAACTCGGGCAAACTGGGTCACGTGTGTGGTTTCCCTGTTCGTCTAGAGACTTTGAGCCATGCCTCCTGGAGTTGGCAGAACCCTTAGAGACCCTCTGACCCGCCCCTGCCACACACATGTGGGAGATGAGGCCTGAACTCTCGTGTGTTTCATCCCAGGCTTCCTCCTGCCATGGCCACCTCCATGTGAATGATCTGGAGGGTTCAAGAACCGCCAGAGTTTAGGGTGTTCTGATGGAGTCTCAGTGCGCTCATGGATTCCTCATTTAGGGCCACAGCTTTGCTTGCCCACAACTTGGGCTGTGGCCCAAGTCGGGGACTGATGGGGTCTCTAATTTTCTCCCTTTATTTCTTCTGGGTGCAAGTTCTGAGACTTCTTAGCCGATTTTTATTGTCTTAAAAGAGGCAGGTAAGGGAGGTGGTAGGATAAAGGGCATAGACTCAAGACACAAGACCTTATTTTAAATTCTAGCTCTGCCACTTACAAGGCTGTCTCAGTTTCATCTGAAAATGGAGATAAAAATAGGACCTACCTTAGAGTAGTCAAATTCATAGAGACAGAGAGTAGAGTAGTGGTTTCGGGGTGGGGGGGTGCAGTGGGGAGTTGTTTAATGGGTACAGAGTTTACAGAGTTTCAGTTTTGCAAGATAATAAGTGTTCTGTGGACGGATGGTGGTGATGGCTGCATACCAATGTGGATGTACTTAACGCCACTGAACTCTACACTTAAAAACTGTTAAGATGGTAGTTTTCACGCTACATGTGTTTTACCACAATTTAAAAGAAAATAGGACGTATCTCAGGATTATGAGAAGTAACTGAGATGGTCACCTAGAGTGCTACTACATGCCCTGCCTGGAAGCTAGTGCTGTTATTGTTGCTAGTAATCATAATGGTAGTGTGGTCTTACTGGGTTCTTTGTAGAGTCACCAGGGAGATAAGCATCCCAGGGGGTAATGTTGCAGGCCTCAGTTTCCCTTTCTGCACATTAGGCCCCACAGACAGCAAAGGAGCCGCTGAGCTCCTGGAGGCTGGCTCTGGGGCTGGGCTCCACCCTCTGCCTCGTTGTGTGTCTCCTCTCAGCTTGGGCTGTTTATGGAGTTCAGCCCTGAGGACATGCTGCTGGGGATGGAGGAGACTGGAGATGATGGGGACCTGGAGGCTGAGCTGCTGGCCCTCACTGGGGAAGCAGGGACCACAGGCAAGAAGCCAGCACCCAAGGGGCAGGGTGAGTTTGGAGCACTTGATGCTGGGGCCAGGTGGGCTCTGCAGGGGGTGGGGAGCCGGCCAGATCATCCGGTCCTTCTGATATCCATGTCCCTTCTGCAGCATTCCCGCCAAGAGGCCATCTTGCCCTGCTCACTTGGCTGTGTGATGGGGAGCTCATTCCTTTCTGGACTGCGCCCTCTCCCTTGTGGACAGTCAGCAGTCTGAGTCGCAGGCTGACTCAGGTCCCTATCCTTAGCCCTAGCCAGGGCCTGGTATAGACTAGGGGCTCAGCACAGGCTGAACTGGGCACATAATGAGTGCATAGAAATTGTGTCCAATGAATGAATAAGTGGTATCTCCCTCCCCAGCTTGGAAGAGGACAGAGACCTGAAGCCTGGGAGGGTCAGAGGGTCTAAACCAGGAACCCTTAGAGAGAACCATCTCCCATCCCATGTGCTCCTGAACTGAGGACAAGGAGAGGACCCAAGAAGGGGCTCACTGGTTGGGGAGAATGATGGCCATCACTTCTCTCTCAGTCCAAACCTGCTTTGGGTTTGATGAGCCTGGGTTTGAATTTTGGCTCTGCCATTTACCAGGATTGCAATGTTAGGAAAATTAATAAAGTTCTCAGTTTACTCATACATAAAATGTGGATAGTATTACCTGTCTTTTTTTTTTTTTGGCTACACTGCACAGCTTGTGGGATCTTAGTTCCCCAACCAGGGATTGAACCCAGGCCCTCGGCAGTGAAAGCGCAGAGTCCTAACCTCTGGACCGCCAGGAGTTCCCAGTATTACCTATCTTGCAGAATTACTGTGAAGCTCAAATGAATGTTAAAAATCTTTATATATATGTGAAAGGTGTGGTTAGGGGGAATGGATGGATATGTCTGTGAATAACTACCACAGCAAAAGTGCCAAAAAGGGAGCAGGTTGTTGCCTGTTGGAGGGCCTGGACATGTTTCCCTGCTGAGGGGCTTCTGCACTGGGTCATAAAGGAAGAGCAGAGGTGGGACTTTGGCTGTCGGGGGGAAGGAGGATTTCTACCTGGGTGTGCCTGCCAGCTCAGTGGATTGAAGTCCCTCCTTTACTCCTTGGGAATCTTCTCTGAGTTGCTGTGACCCTCTTCCCCCAGCCCCACTGCCTATGGCCCACATCGAGAAGTTGGCGGCAGACTGCCTGCGGGATGTGGAGGAGGAGGAGGAGGAAGGGCTGGAGGACGATGCAGACTTGCTGGTGCGTCTGCCGGGCTGGTGTTGGAGGGCTCTGTGGTCAAGCCTGCGGAGGAGGCCTGGGGTGCTTCCCTCTGTGTGCGCTGATGTTGACTGAGTGCCTTGCCCTTCTTGGGCCCTTTTCCTGACTGTAAAGTGTGAGATCTGTCCCCTTTGATGTGTGGTCTGAGCTCTGTACTTGGGGATTTTCAGATTTGGAGGCTTCACTGATTTCAAGCCTATCCCTGGTCAGATTAAAGGAGTGTTTTGGTAGAGGGGACTTTCAGGCACAGTGAGTGATACTGGGAAATACTGCTGGGGGAGAGTGTCCTTGATTCTCGGGTCCTGTCGTGGGTATGGTCATGAGGCTCCCCAGCTCCTGGGACTTGTGTCTCCCCAGACTGAGCTGCAGGAGGTCCTGGGTGCACATGAGGAGGCTGGGCCCTTGGATGGCGATGAGACAGCCAGCCCAGGGGGCTCTGAGAAGGAACAGGAGAACATTGAATCTCCAGTGCAGACAGCTCTCCTAACAGCTTCAGTCCCAGAGGCTCAGGTGGGTTCTGGAGGGTCCATTGTGCCTTTGTCCATGTCCTTTGTGCCTGCGTGTCCATGTATAACACACACGGAGCACGGCTTGCCTAGGAATACTGTGGTAACTCTTTCCAGGGCCCTCCTTCAGCAGCTGCCCCAAGCAGAGGCTGAGCCCAAGAAACTCCTTGGTGGTTGCCGGCCTCAAAGGCCTCTCTGTTCTCCCAGACCGCCCCCTGCAGCCATTTCCTGGCCTCCACAGATTGTCTGGGCCTCTGTGTTTGCCTCTGACATGGCCTCTGGCCTCTCCAGTGAGTCTTTGCCTCCCACCTTGAGGCTTTTAGGTTCTTCCTTCTCCTTGAATCCAAGAGCTTCGTTTTCCGGGGCAGCTTCCTTGCAGGGAGGGAGCAGCAAGGGCCTGGCTGGCCCTGGAGTGGTGGGGCACTGAACTCAAGTATCTACAGGCTGGAGGGCCTCAGGGGCTGCAGGCTCTGCTGGAGGATCGGATCCACAACTACCGGGAGGCGGTGGCCAGTGCCAAGGAGACAGGTGAAGCAGCCAAAGCCAGGCGCTGTGAGCGCGGCCTGAAGGTGGGTTGGGCTCGGCTGGGGAGCAGGGCTAGTAATGGGGCTGAGGGCGGTGAGGGCAGAGGGTGAGGCACAGGAGGAGCTTGGGCCAGCGGAGGGGAAGCCTCCCCGCCAGCCTCGCAGAGGGGAAGGATCCTGGGCCTGTCTTTGAGCAGGGTCCAGGCCATGATGGCTGGCTAGGTTTCTGGTTCTTCTCTCCCTCAGACTCTGGAGTCCCAGCTGGCTGCTGTGAGGAAAGGCAGGAAGATCAGTGAGGATGAGATCCCACCTCCAGTGGCCTTGGGCAAGAGGCCCCTGGCCCCTCAGGAAACAACCAGCAGGAGCCCTGAAGCAGAACCCCCAGCTCCCCCCTCCGTGGAGCCAGGTATCTGGAGAGAGTCAGATCCCATCCTGGTTCCCAAGGTCAGAGCCCAAGGCCTGCCTCCCCATCCTGCCATTGTTCCCTTGCTGTCAGTCACACCTTCCCTAAGAGGTCCTCAGGCCAACCAGACCTGGAGGCACTGGTGACCTTCTTCTTTGACCTTCATGTCCTCTCTGTGGACTTTTTGTTTCTCCATAGACAACCCCTCCCAGCCTGAGACAAGCCACTTGGGCAGCCCTAGTATTTCTGGGCCCCCTGATTCAGACCCAGACCCACGGGCCTTGCTGTTGGCCCGACAGAGAGAGTACAAAGTGGCTGCCCTGAACGCCAAGCGGGCTGGAGACCTAGATCGTGCCCGAGAGCTCATGAGGATTGGGAAGGTATGGCATCGGTTCAGAGGTCCTGTGTCCAATCCCTCATTTCACAGATGGGGCGGTGACCTGCTCAAGGTCACACAGCTCGACTGGGCTTAAGTGAGACTGGCCAGAGGGGGAGTTTTTCAGCCCAGATCCTTGGGATTCCCTGGCTTATGCCCACATCTGCTTTTCTTCCTGCTGCAGAGATTTGGGGCCATCCTGGAGGCCCTGGAGAAGGGGCAGCCTGTGGACCTGAGTGCCATGCCCCCAGCACCTGAGGGTCAGTGTGGGAATGGGCGGGGGGAGCCTGCTCAGGCTGGGGCTGGGGCTGGCCAGGCACCCCACCCACACCTACATCTACACCTCTGCTCTGGGTCCCCCAGACCTGAAGCCCCTCCCACAGGCTTCCAAGGCCTCCACAGCACCCGCAGAGGTACACCCAGCAGTAGAGCGAGTGCAGCCAGTGATGGCCTCTGACATCCCGGCCACCCCAGGTAGGACCGGATGATGAGACTGTGGAGTGGGGGCCTGGGGGGAGGCAGGCAGAGCTGAGGCCATCTCCTTTCTCCTTTCAAGTGGCCCCTACTGAGCCACAGACAGTGCTAGACGCCCTGCAGCAGAGGCTGAACAAGTACCGTGAGGCAGGCACCCAGGCTCGGGGCAGTGGGGATGAGCGCAAGGCCCGGATGCACGAGCGTATTGCCAAGGTGGGCCTGTAGCCTCCCTCCTTGGCTGGATGCTGTCTGTCTGCTCCCTGGTCTTTGAGTCTTCATCTGTCTGTCTCTCTCTGGAGCTCTTGCTGCCTCAGGGGCTCTTTTTCCTCCTGGGGCTGCTGTCTTTGTCCTCTTCCTGTCTCTCCCTGAGTGGAGCCTGCAGACTGCTGCCCACCATCAATCCCTCCCTTCCTTCCCTTGCAGCAATATCAAGATGCCATTCGAGCCCACCGAGCAGGACGGAAAGTTGACTTTGCTGAGTTGCCTGTTCCTCCAGGTGAGTGGGGCTTGGCCTGGGGGCTTATGAGGTCCCTGAGCAGGATGGGGGGAAGAGGAAATGATTTCTCACAGATCTGCCTCCGCTCTGGGGGAGCCACCCATCCCAGCCATGCCCAGGAGGACCCACACAGGACCGGCAGCAATCTGGTGCCTCCCCAAGGCTACCCGAACCCTCTCCCAGTTGTCTCTCTTCTACAGGATTCCCCCCTATACCTGGCTGGGAGCCCACTATGGGTACTGAGGAGGATGTGGTGGCAGCTACTTTAGCAGCTGCCCAGAAACTGGCCTCCTCAGAGGATACAGCCCCCGCAGAGGAAGACGAGGACGAGGACAAGGTTTGGCTGAGTGCCCGAGGCTCCAGGGGTTGGTGGGGGGAAACAGCAGGTGAGGGGTGAACCCAAACACTGGTGTCCATACTAACAAGCCCAGCGAGGTAGATATTCTTTCTTCTACTTTACAAAGAAAAAACTTGAGCAAGGGCACCCAGCTAGGAATTAGCAGAGCTGGATTCAGACCAAGGTGTTTCTGACTCCAGAGCCCAGGTTTGATCCCCATTACCCTGCTGTCTCATGTTGGGAGGTTAGCTCAGAGAGCTTTTGAGGCTTCTTCTAGCTCTGAGACTCTCTAGGGCCCACGAGGGAAAGCCATTCCTTTCAGGTCACACAGTGAGGAAGTAGTACAGTGTTAGGAAGAGAGCCCGAGTCTGGAAACTGCCATGGCCGGGGTGGGGAACAGCCTCCTGTGACAGCCTCCTGGACACCTGCAGGATGAGCCCCCAGCCCAGGCCCCAGTGGCCAAGAAGCCAGCACAGCCTCTGGTCCCTTCATCCCGGCCCCTGTCTGAGCCCAAAGCCTCGAGTTCTAAGGAGTCACTGAGTCCGGCTGGTGAGTTGGGGAGAAGAGGGATGGAGGAGTGAAGGCTCTAGTGAGAGGCAGGCATGGCTCTGACCAGCGTCCCCTCCCTCCAGTGCGAGAGCAGGTGGCCCTGCTGCAGGCACGGAAACTGCAGTACCAGCGGGCAGCCCTGCAGGCCAAGCGTGGCCAGGACCTGGAGCAGGCCAAAGCCCATCTGCGGGTGGCCAAATCCCTTGAGGCTCAGATCATCCAGGTGCGGGCTGGCCGACCTGTGGACCTCTCCAAGGTGAGTGTCGCCTGGTTAATGAGCAGCAGGACTTCTCAGGCAGAGAGGTGGGTGGCCGGCTGGACATGCAGACTGAACAAGGTGGCTGCTTGGAGGAGGTGGGACCTGAATAGGATGTGGTGACAGCTGAGAAAGCCTTGTGCTTATGCATCTCTCTGTCCCAGGACCCAAGAGAGGCCAGGGGGGCTGCCTGTGGTGAGAGCTGACCAGGACGGGCAAGGCCAGAGGAAAGCAGAGCATTGTAGCAGCCTGGGATAGGATGGCAGGCAATGAGTTCCCATCACTGGAGGTTACTAGAGGCTGGAGAAACATTTCGTTTGGATTCCTGTGTCTGTTAGGCTCAGTAGAGGAATAATCTAACTCTTGAGGCCCCTGAGGGGCCTTGTGACCTGGGCAGGTGCCTTCACCCTTAACGGATGAGGAGGGCGACTTCATCCTGATCCACCATGAGGACCTGCGACTCTCTCAGAAGGCTGAGGAGGTGTATGCCCAGCTACAAAAAATGCTTCTGGAGCAACACGAGGTCAGTAAACTGCTTGTCTGTCCTCCCCTTTCAGTGCCCACAGCTTCCCCTTGGTGAGAGGCAAGATAGGATTCAAATTCTAGCTCTTCTCCTTACTTGGCTGTGTGATCTTGAGTAAGGCACTTCCCTTCTCTGAACCACATTTTCCTCATCTATAAAATGGATGATTAATGCCCCTCTTGCAGGGTGGTTATGAAGTTCAAACAGAGTGCAGGGGGAATTACTTTGAAGATGGGAGGAAGAAGTGTTTGGGGAGACAGATATGCGTGTGTGTGTGTGTGTGTATGTAAGATATACATAGATGTATAACTGGGTGTATGTGTATCTATCTGAACGGCTGCCTGCAAGTCTGCTTTTAAAGTGATGTTTCTATTAGGTTTTTTTTTTATTAGTTTATTTTTGGCTGCCTTGGGTCTTTTTTGCTGCGCGAGGACTTTCTCTAGTTGCGGCAAGCTGGGGCTACTCTTCATTGCCGTGCGCGGGCTTCTCATTGCCGTGGCTTCTCTTGTTGTGGAGCACGGGGCTCTAGGAGCACGGGCTTCAGTAGTTGTGGCTCGCGGGCTCAGTAGTTGTGGCTCGTGGGCTCTAGAGCTCAGGCTCAGTAGTTGTGGCGCACGGGCTTAGTTGCTCCGCGGCATGTGGGATCTGCCCGGACCAGGGCTCGAACTCGTGTCCCCTGAATTGGCAGGCGGATTCTTAACCACTGCGCCACCAGGGAAGTCCCTTTCTGTTAGGTTTTAACGAAGAATAGGCGTTTGCTAAGGGAATTTAGGGGAATGGCTATCCTCAGGAGAGGAAACAGCAAAAACTCAGAGAAGTGCAATGGGACTTGGGAGCAGTGAACTTGAGGTACGTGTTGGAGGAGAGGGGTGAGGCTTCAGAAGGTTGGACCTTTCAGAAGTCAGGCCTCGAAGGCCAACCTAGACGGGTCCTGCTCTGGACTCTGGATTCACTCTGAGCCCCCATTTTCAGAAGTGTGTGCTGTTCTCCAAGCAGTTTATGCACCAGGGCAATGTGGCCGAGACTACCCGGTAAGTGCGGGGCTGGGGCTGGAGCTTGTGGGGTGGGGAGCAGAAAATGAGCCCTGCCATGCTGATGTGCACACCTGTCCCTGTCAGGTTTGAGAATCTTGCTCAAGACCGCAAGAAGCAGCTTGAGATCCTACAGCTGGCCCAGGCCCAGGGCCTTGACCCTCCCAGCCACCACTTTGAGCTGAAGACATTCCAAACTGTGAGGTGCCAAAGCCTAAGGGAGACCGTGGCTCCAGGCAGGGACTGGGCAAGAAGCTGGGAGCCAGGGATGGAGACTTAGGCCCCTTGAGTGAAGCTTCCCAGGCTTGACCCTGAAGGAGGCCCTGGGGCTGGGGAGCGGTAGGACATGGTGCCTGTCTGTGAGGAGGGGCTCAGAGCTGTGTGGTGGCTGGGGAAAGAGCCCTGGACTAGGTGTCACAGACCGAGGTCTGCACGCCAGCTCTGCTGCTTCTACTCAGACAAGCTTTGCTTCCCTGGGCCCACTCTCCTCTTGGCCACCACGCTGCTGGGTAGGCAGCCACTGGAAGAGGGGACCTTTTCCTACTGCTCTCCTTCACTTTGGGCTCTTTCTCCTTGCTTCCTGGCTCTAGGATCTTCGCAGAACTGAACAGCACAGAAATGCATCTGATTGTTGTCCGGGGAATGAACCTCCCAGCCCCTCCAGGTAGCCCTAGGGCCACCCCTACTCTAAGAGGCACTTGTCTAGACTCTCCACTCCTGGCTGCTTAGGGAGGCACTGGCTCTCCCTCTGCATCAAGTGCTAGACTCCTGGCTACTCCCTCTGACCCTGACTCCTGCTTCTCCTTCATAGGGGTGACCCCTGATGACTTGGATGCTTTTGTGCGGTTTGAGTTCCACTATCCTAATTCGGTGAGATTCAGGTAGCAATAGGATCCTGTGAACCCCATCTTCCCTTCCAGGGCCGTGTGCTCTATTTCTCCCCGTCCCTGGAGTCTGGCTATAGGGAGGGGTTTGAAGACCCTTGGGCACATTCCCTCTATGGGTCCCTTCCCTCAGCATTGATGTAGCCCAGAGTTCCTGGCCCTGTATCTCTGTTTTTTCAAGCTGTCCTGACTCCTCTCTTCTCACTGCTTTAGGACCAGGCTCAAAAAAACAAAACAGCTGTGGTGAAAAACACAAACTCTCCAGGTGAGGACCCACGTGAGGGCTGCTTTCTCCTCCCTCTCACCCTCTGATATATCTGTGCAGCACCTGTGTTTCCAGAGTGCTTTCAGATCTATTATCTTACTTGGTCTTCTCAGCTTAGGAGATACAGGCAGGTATTACTACTACTTCTCTAAAGTAATTGGGGAAACTGAAGCTCAGAGAGGTAGAGGGACTTGCCTAGGGCCTCACAGCAAGGAGATGGTGGAAACAGGACTTGAATCCAGGAATCCTGACTCCAAATTCCAAGCCTTTCCCATTTTGGTTTGATCTGTGTCTAACAAGAACTGTCCAAGTGGACTTCAAGGCCAGGACCTCGATGCTCTCTCTACCTCCCTCTGGTGGCAGTGACTCCGAATTGCAGGCAGAAAGATTGAGAGGGGAGGCCAGCCCTGGGCCAGTTTCCACTTCGTCAGGAAATCCCTGAGAGCCAAGTTCCTCTGTCTTCTCCCCACTCTTGCAGAATTTGATCAGCTCTTCAAACTAAACATCAACCGAAACCACCGGGGCTTCAGGAGGGTGATTCAAAGCAAAGGAATCAAGTTTGAAATCTTCCACAAAGGGTGAGGGCTCTGGTCAGTCACACTGCCAAGGTGGGCTGGGGGGAAGGATTGGTTTCTGTTGCTGCTGCTGCCCCTGCTACTATTCAGTTTTCTTGTGCTGGGTTTAGCCAGCTCATTTCTGCCTTCCCTGCCCAGTCCAATCCTCTGCTGACTCTTGGCTTTCCAGATCCTTCTTCAGAAGTGACAAGCTGGTCGGCACAGCCCACCTGAAACTGGAGCGTCTGGAGAATGAGTGTGAGATCAGAGAGATTGTGGAGGTAGGGTGGGCAAATCGGAGGACTTGGCAAGAAAAGAGCCAATGTTCACTGAACATCAGTCCCTGTTGTGGGTTTTTTGTGCCCATTAATTTAAAAATATCCATAAGTGTGCTATAGAGTATGTGCTATGCCCATTTCACAAATGAAGAGATTCAGAGGGTCTGAGAAAATTTCATAGCGTCACCCAGAGAGGAAGTAGCAACAATCCTTCCAAGACGCTCTGCACCACTCAGGCTCCCAGGGATGGTGGATTAGGGGGCTTTTGAGGGGCCTGATCACAGCTGTCAACTTGGCACACACAAATTCCTAGGTGTCTGGGGGCAGGTTATGGTTGAGGCAGTTGTCTGGCAACGTGATGAAGCAGAACAAGCTCTGGACATAAAGTTGATAATGTATTTCCTGAGGAGGGACCCACCAGAACACAGCTAGTCCGTGTTTAGGAATCAGCCCCAGACAGCCCCTTAAGCTTCCCTGAACTCACTGAATTTCACAGGGACTCCCAGAACTTGCCCCTGATGATGAGGCAACTAAGGTTCCCAGAGGAGAAGGGTGTTCCACAAGCTCGTACAGAGCCTCTCTGGCACAACTAGGCCCAGACCCTGGCTGATGCCTTCGTAGGCTGTGGCTTTTCCCACTACATTGCCTCTGCCTGTTAGGGGGAGTTCTTAAGTGGGGCCTGTATCAGCCCCAGTGAGGTTGGTTAGACTTCACAATTCTGTAGCACTGCTTTGAACTCCAGCCGCCCCGTCTCCTGCATAGGAGGGAAGTAGCGTGGCGGCTGGAAAGACAAGCACGTCCTGACCTTGCTGCACAGTGGCTGTGTGACGGTATCATTCATTTCTCTCTGGGCCATCTGTGAACTGAAGTTTTGGGCTCAGTGATTTTTCAGGCTGCACCTTGAAGCCAGAGCATTTCTTCCAGGAGTTGCCAAGGGGACTGTGGGGAAAATTGAGTAAGCAGAGCTCTAGGTTTCTCACTTCCACTTCAGGGCATTGGTGCTTATTTGGATTTACATATGACTTTTTAAATAAGACTTACCTAAAACCACCACCATCAAACAGCAGGAGGGTGGGGTTGTCCTGAGATGGAGACTCTGGTGTTGAGATGCAGGATGCTTTTAGCTCCTCTCTCTCCTCACCTGTGAGCACAGGGAGCTCCCTGCTCCCCACCCCTTTCCCCTCAGTTACCATCTCCCTCTCCGTGGTCCTCACAGGTCCTGGACGGAAGGAAGCCCACTGGGGGCAAGCTGGAGGTGAAGGTGAGGCTGCGGGAGCCTCTGAGTGGCCAGGATGTGCAGATGGTCACCGAGAACTGGCTGGTCCTGGAGCCCAGGGGCCTGTGAGGTGGGCAGCTCTCTGGGCCCTTAGAACCTCTGTTCCCTGCTCACTGCCTGGGCCCTCCAGGGACCCTTCCAGTACTCAACTCATATCTAAGGAGAAAGCCTAGGAGTTTCTCATCTGTGAGGAAGACCAAGAGGCAAAACTGTTGGTTGGGTAGCGCTCAGGCTCAGTGTCTCATGATCTTCAGCAGAACTGGGGAAGGAAGTTAACTTTCCCAGGTCTGTCTTCAGGAAACCCTTTCTAAAATCTACTTGTACATCCACTGCAGTTTAGACTTCCTGAGCTTTGTGCCCTTGTGCAACAGAGGGTCAATGTAGGGAGTGGAGTCAGGCCAGCAATTCCTCTCCATCTTCCCCCACCCCCGCCCCGCTTTGCTGGCTATAGAGGTCATTGTACATAAAGGAGATGCTGCTGCACAAGCACCAAAGACCTGTTAAGTACTTGCATATTGACCACGGCCCTAGTCTTTCCTGTTGCTGGCCCCTCCCCAGGCCTCCACCCAAACAGGCTGGATTCCAAGATTGCTCCTACCCCTCCATCTGGGGGAGGGCAAGGACAGCCTCACTGCTCTGCCATGGAGTCTTGTAACCCCTTAACCCCTGGGTAGCAACTGCTTGCAGCTTGCCCCAGCCCCCAGTTGCACCATTTCTAGATGTGCCTTTAAAAGATAGAACTGTAAGGGATGGGAAAACTCGAGTGTGATCTGGACACCCCGCCACACCCCCTGCTTAGGGTGGGGGCAGGGTTCTGTGACTCCAGGTGGCCAGTGGCAGCCTATCCCACACAACTCAGTTTACCCCCTCAGTTTGCCCTGCCTGTGCCTGTGCCTTGGTTCCTGACAGCTGCTGCACTAGCCTCCCTGCTTCTCAGAGCTCTCAGTGGAAGTTTGTTCAGGACTGTGTGGTGGGAAGTAAGGGTAGGGCTGTGTTAGGTTTGGTCCATGTACCTAAGACTGAAAGAATGTTAACTAGGAAAGAAAAAATATATGTGTATATATGTTATGTAGCTGATTTTATTTAAGAAACTAGGTCTAATTAACTCATTGTAGGGGATTTACACTCTCCTCACAAAGTAACCATCAAAGTCCTAAACAAAAGCCCTGCTGCTCCCTGTCACTTTTTAAAGCCAGAGTGGCAGTAACATTTGTTAATTGACAGAAACTGCTGCTACGGCTTCCTCTAGAGACAGGGCAGGGGAAGCCTTGCCTCTCATCACCTAGGGAAATCCCTTCGTTTCTTCCCAAGAAATTCTCCTTTGGCTTTGTTTTTCTGAATGGATGGAAATAATGGAGGGATTTATAGTTGCAACAGATTTAATGTTCAAAACTGCAATATTCTACATCTCTTAGAAATAAACTTTAATAACGCATCTTTTCCCCCCCTTTTTTTGAAGCATTAAGTTCAACAAAGCATTCCTGAAGATAATTTTTTAAGGCTTTATGTAAAGCAGATACATTCAACTTACTGATCACTATAGTATTGCAAATGCACAGCTCGGGGATTGAGCTTGTGTGTGTGTGTGTCTTTTTCTGGGATGGAGCCGGACCATGCTTCCCTGCCCTTAAGAGCAGAGCTTATAGTGGGTAACAGAGCAGGGACAACAAATAACTTTTCTGAGAGCTTGCTGGCCAGTCTTACCTATCAGAGTGAACTACCAAAAATTCCATTGATGTGAGCCTTAACCCTTAAATGCAGTCATATCTATATGTCATACAAGCAGCCATCTAGAATGAAAAGGAGGGTTGTTAGCCCTCCTAAGGTGGCCTAGAGCAAAGAGGGGTGGCAAAGAGGGTTCCTGACTCAACCTAGTCTTCCCCGCAGGGTTTGCACCCAACTCACCAGTGCTAAGAGGGCTTGAAGCTTCTGCCAGCCCTAGGAATTTCTAAACTCACTCCTCTGCTAGAAATTTGATAGGAAGTTTTCTGTGGCTCAGAGATTTCCCATCATAACCTGTTCAATTTCATTCTGCTTAACTGCCCTTTGCTTTTTGGAAAACAGAACTTCCAGGCTGAGAGAGGCAAGACAAAGCCGCCCACTGGACTTAGAGACTAAGGTTCTTAAAAGGCCTTTGTTTTAGCCACGGCATGCAGGGGTCACTGGCGTGGGAGGAGCCTGCCCAGCTTCATCTTCTCCTAAGATTTATCCAAATGCAGCAACTCAGCATCGCAGATTAGTGACTTATGAGCAGTTGAGAACCAGCCACAACCCAAATCATTTTTAAATTTTAAAATTTCTTTTCAATTTAGTGCAAGGCACATTTTCTTTTGAATTAGTGAACTGAATAAAATATGGAAGAAATTTATCTCAGAATCAGGAAGTCTTGCTCACAATTAAAGGGCAGACTAGTTTATTATTTTCCTTTCTTATAGCACTATTCTGAAACCTGCATTGTTGCTTCCCAAGTTTTGAGCGCTTGTTTTCCAAATATGTGTGGGCAGCTCTTAAAAGATCTCGCCCCTTAAGTAAAGGCTACAGGGCTTCCCTGGTGGCGCAGTGGTTGAGAGTCCGCCTGCCGATGCAGGGGACACGCGTTCGTGACCCGGTCCTGGAAGATCCCACATGCCGCAGAGCGGCTGGGCCCGTGAGCCACGGCCGCTGAGCCTGCGCGTCCGGAGCCTGTGCTCTGCAACGGGAGAGGCCACAACGGTGAGAGGCCCACGTACCGCAAAAAAAAAAAATAAATAAATAAAGGCAACTGCTTTTAAGATGAAACTGTGGAGCTGAGACTGGTAGAAGGTAGAGGCAGGTAGCTTGCACCTGGTCCAGTTCCATCACAGACAGATTCTTCCCTTCTCTGGGCCTCAGCTTCCCAAACTCTAAAATGGGCGTTATCATTCCTATTCTGCTCCTTATCCCTTCTGGCTACATTACAATCCTCCAAATCCCGTTACTTTCATTATTAAAATTATTTTAGCATTATTATTAAAATAGAAACCACCGTCACAAACTTACTCTAGAAACAGTGTTAAGCAGATTGCTTGCTTGTTGTCTGAAATGCATTAAATGCATAAATTATTCCCCAGATGACTATTTATGATAGAAGTAAATTCAGCTGGAAATTCTGAGCTCACCAGCATTCAGGAAACACTGTGCATGAGGGAAGACACTAGATGGGAACTTATACAGGGCAAAGTTGCATATTTCTGTAGCCCTAGAGTCTGGTAGGTGCTCAGATAAGAGTTGATAAAAAGAAATGGAGAAACTACATTGCCGAGCATTTGGTAAGAATTTAGTTTTTAAAAATTTAATGTTACCAGAATGGCAATTTCTGTTCCTCTTTATAAGGATCTCTGTATCTCAATCTAAGTTTACATTATAGAAGAATCTGCCTTATTTAGAAATGTGATGTTTCAGTTCTATACAACATACAGTGCATAAAAACAAAAATGAAACGAGGGAAAACAGTGAACTAGCTTTGGCTATTTTATGCCCAATTCCACAAGATGATTTTACTAAACATAAAGGACATTTTATGCAATTGAGAATGGACCTGACTGTGCAGGGCCAGAGTAGGGGAATTTAAAAGTTTGCACTGATCCCAAAAGGTATGTATAGCTGCAAGATCTATTTAGGTGGCAGGAAGAAAGGTAACTTCTCTAGGAGGACAGGACCAAGGGAGCCAGCTCCTACAGAAGCTCCAATTTATATTTAGACCAAGCTAGATGTTACACCCAAATACCTACTACTAGTATTATTAATCCTGTTATTAATACCCCTGTTATTAACAAGTGCATCCTGTGCCTGTCAGGTTTGGGGGGTGACAGTCCAAGGGCTCGGTCCTTACAAGCTGGTGTTCAGTGGGCTCCCGTTCTTTTCTTGCCTTAGAAGCTCCAAGTCTACGGGAAAGGTCACAATCCCAGCTCTCTGCAGCCACCATCAGCGAAGGCTGTGGAGAGGCAGATGTAGAATGTTGATTTCCCCCACCACGGAAGAGAATTAACCTAGCTAGACACACTTGGGCCTCAGAAAACAGCTGTTGCCCTAAACGTAGTTCCACAGCCTGTAATTGCCAAGTGCTAAGCCCAGCTCCAGCCACTGAGGAGCAGCCTCTCACTGTCTCAGAGGCCCGCACTAACTTCCAGGGGCTTCTTGGAGTTGTGCTTTCACTGAAGAGGGACCAACCTCTCGCTTGGCCTGGGTGTTTAGAAGATGCCAGTGCCAAGGAAGTGAGTTGCCCTAGAGCAGTGTTTTTCAAACTGTGGGTTGTGAAATCTATTTGGTCTGTGACCAAAATAAATTCTTAATGAAGGAGAAAATGATCAGAGTGCATCACATATATTATCTGGTAAACCAAATATATTATTTGGTAAATAATTTGGTAAATCAAATCTTGGCTTCTAATACCACTTCCTCTTAAAAAAAAAAAAAAAAAAAAAAAAAAAACAGGCTGATTCCAAGGCTGGGACAGGGTTAGCCCAAGATGGCCCTGGGGCATCTTGTTAGGCCAGAAAAGGAAGTGTTCAGAAAAATGTTAGGAGCATGTCACAAGGACGTGGGAGCTCACCTGAAGGGGTTCTCTCTGGCCAAAGCTGAGACCATTTGAGCACCAAAATAATGAATTAGAACCATTCAAAAAGTAATCCCAAGTCCATAATGAAAACTAATTACATGAATAAATAAGAAAGAAGGGCTTTTGCTTATAGATAATCAAGTGCAACTGATAAAGGTAGAGGAAGTGCTGGAATTGAGAAATCATTTGTAGCCATTATAGTAAAAGATCAAGAGATCAATTCAGACAGGAAACATCAGAGAATGCTAACTCGTAAGGGGAAATTTCAGTGAGCAAGATAATCTGCATGATCTGCAAGTATCTCTACACATATTGGTTATTTGTTCCAAAGGGGAAAATATACAGTGGACAAACTGGACCACACCTTGACCAGGTGATGAAAATTTACCATCAGTGAGGGGCAGAAGGACATTAAGTGACCCCTGATGTGGGTCACTTAAGTGACCCCTGTTGTGTCCTAAGAAGGACACAACATCACTTAGGGAGGATTCTGGCCAACAATGCGTAATTCACCTAATTATGAGGAAATACCAACTGAATGCAAAATGAGGCATTTTCTATTAAGAAATGAGTTGGGGGAACCTTATTCACCAAAAATACTAATGACATAAAAGATAAAGGTGAGTCATGACAGCAACTTACCATGTCTGTCTTATCATGCTGGAAGCTTCACTGGAGGGGAAAGATGCTGGGAAGGACATTATTGGACAGATGCTAGGTTAAAGTATCACACCGAAGTTGAGAACTGTCCTATGGTTATGGAAGAAAATGTGCTAATTTTTAGGAAACAAATCAAGTATTTAGGGATAAAGGGCTATGATGTATGCAACTTACTCTCAAGTGCCTCAATTTTTTATGGAGAGAGAAAAGGAAAGGAACACTGATAAAGCAAATGAGTTAATCTGTGAACAATAGCTGAATCTGGGTAAAGCATACGTAGGTGGTGGTGGTGGTGGACTTTTTAACTTGCCACTTTCCTGGAAGTTTAAATTATTTCTCAATAAAATATTTTTTTAAATACCTATAGTGTAGGGAATTCCCTGGTGGTCCAGTGGTTAGGACTCTGCACTTTCACTGCCAGGGCCCAGGTTCGATTCCCTGGTCAGGGAACTAAGATCCTGCAAGCGGCAGGGCATGGCATGGCATAAAATAAAATACCTCTAGTGTATATTATAACTAAAAATGTCTTGGGTATATTCTGTCAGCTTTCACAGAAAGGCCCGATTCAGTGTCTCATCCACTCTGGCAGATCTTGAGAGATCCTGTAATTGGCTCTACTATCCAGGTGACCTCATTTACAGAGTCGCCCTTCCTTGAATAGAAGAGAGATAATCCTTTGGGTCTTTGATTCACTTCAATAAATAATCTAGTAAAAACAAAAAATCTAAGTGTGACTCCTGCTTGAAGTTGCTGTGATGTAACTGGGACAAGGTCAGCGTGAAACTATCCTTTTTATATCCATCCTATACAAAGAGTTCAAGACTGATGCTTCATTTTTTATTTCCCCTCTGCCCTCCCACCCCACCCTTGGTGATGGCTGTACCCATCTGAACATTTCTGAGCACAAGACCAAAAGTAAGTCTTAAAACAGAGGAGCAGAACTCTTGTCTAAACAGTAACAGAAGGGGATTAGCTGCAAGGATAGCGTAACTGTGGTGCAGTAACAGAAGCCGCCCAGATCTTCTCGGTGGACAATGCATAGAAGACTTAGAATTATGGAACATCTGTCCCCCCACCCACCCTTTCCCACCCCGTCCCCCAAACCCCCACCCCACCCCCTCCCCCATTAATAGTGTTAACAAAATCTTAATTTTCCAGTTCTAAAGTGCAAATGATTTGGGTATGACTGCTGTTGCAAC